CCTTTCTTCACGTCACTAAAGTTAACATTCAACCCCTACCGACGCCGCCGGCGTTCAAGCTCTCTCACTTGAGTACTCCCCGGGGAGCAGAGAAAACAAGGCAAAGTGTATGAAAGAAGCAGGGCACAGTATGTGTGTATTAATAAAAAAGCCCCCCTCATAAATGATTCATATCGTGTGTTATCTCCGTGGAGAAGACCCAGGCAGAGAGGGTAGACAGCTCTGATCCTTCGCCTGGCACCCCTGCACCGCTCTGGGCTTGATTCCCTGGCCCGCCTGCCTGTCTGTCTGGAGCTCTGGCTCCCATCCTCCTTTCGTTCTCCTCGCCTCTCTGTTCATTACCTTTCTTTCTTCTACCTCAACACCCCCACCTTTATCCTCATCTCCTCCGCCCCCCTCCTCACTCATCTCCCACCTTCCTCTCATCTCACCCCTCCCCTTCCCCTTACTCTTCCTCCTGCTACCCACTACCACCCTCCTCCTCCTCCTCCTCGTCTCCCGAGTCAGGCTCTGCACTGAATTTTTCATCACAAGCCACCTGCTGCCTGCCAGAGCCAAAGAACGCTGCCACCAGAGGCACCGACAGAGGGCCCGGCTTCTGACATAAAGAGAGGAATAAAAGCAATAAAAAGAGCCAGAGAAAAGATGGGTAGAGAGACAATAAGCCTCACAGTGTGAGATTAGCGGGAGCTGTTCTTCCATTTTTAACAAAAGGCAAAAATGTCCTCAAGAGTTAATTGCTTTCAATTGCTGTAATTGCTTTCTGTATTTTTACCTTTTAAGCATTTAGCTGTCACTTTTCTCTCGAATTTACAGAAATGTTTCTTTGAACTGCTTTCTCCCAAAGAAATAGTTTATATGAAAACATTTCACAAGTTCACCAGTAAACCTTGGTCACATTAGAAAGTGGATCCACAAAGTTCATGTGTACGTCCTCACAGAACAGGCAGTGCTAGAAGGTCACATACTCACAGTTGAACTTTGATAGATTTCACTGATTGTGGTTGATTCCACTGATTATTAATTGATTTAAATACTGGTGTGACTGGCCTTTGAGCAGGACAATTAGCTTTTCAAATGCTGTGAGGACCACAGATGAAATTGCATTTACCTCCACTGTATTTGGGTCGGGCCAGAAACCTAAAAACCTGGACAAACTAAACCAAAAATGTCTGCATGACTAGATACCACTGGAGGTACGTTTTTTTTTTTTTGTAATGTGGGTGAATCAAACCTTCAAACCAGTGACATTTTGATTATGACTTGGCTTGTTCCATTATAACCTGAGAGTATTTTCATTCCAATCAAACTCTACAGCAGCTGATTGGCAAATGTGTTCACCGAGAGAGCAGGAACTAATCAGTGAAACCAGATGCTGTAGTTAGGTCTGAGAGAACACCTTGGGTGTTGATGACGCATGCTTAAAAATCACTGCCACAGCCCACCAGCCCACTCCTATAATTGTTGCAGTAGGTGGCAACCGATCCTCTTAGTCTGAAACTACCCAACCTGTTTGTGACATGATTGTCTCTGCCTGCCAGTGAGCAAATGAGATCGAGCTGAGGTCGAACTTTTAAAGAAAAGGGAAATACAAAAAAAGAAAAATAATGCCATCATCAAGCTGTGGAAAACAAACAGGCGGTACGTAATTGCCCTTCACTCCTACACACTCTCCATATGCAGAGTGAAGCTGCATGGCATACATTATCTCCTGTTGGTTAATGAAGACCCTTGCTGGGAAGGATACAGGCTTAGTAGGGGTAATAAATGTTGAACGAAAAAGTAAGAAGATGAAGGACAAGACTTTTCAATGGCATTATCCCAGTGTATAAACCCGTATTTTAACCTGAGGACTTCACAATACTGCTCTGTTTTAAGGTAAATCAAATGTCCCTGCATTATGTATGGTGTAACAACACAAGCACACTCTCTTGCCAGTGTTGTAATATCCGTACTCCGAAGGGGCAGATGAAAAGTGTTACCAAATAAGACACCAACTGTGTAGGTGAGGGTAAAAAATATCTCCACTCTGAATGGTTTTTAGTGAAAAGTGTTGGGTTGTAGCGGCCAGCACTTCCTGCTGTGAACACTAGTGTGTCTGGAAATGCAGACTAGCACATTTAGAAGGATGTATTTGACCTGTGCTCTAAACGCCATGGACTCTGCTGTTCAGCTGTCTAGTTACAGGGTCTGATATCGATAAGTGCCTGAGATGATATTGTAATATTATACACAAAATAGGGACACGATATGATTTGTTTGTCAGTGACACTACAGAACACAAACTGCAGTGTGTTTTTAAAACATTTTTAATATCATCATATTAAAATGTCATTTTTGGGGTACTCCTTCCTGAACCTTTTTTATTTTATTAAAGAGCCAACACTTTACAAGCGGTTATCAGTGTATTTGTATCCCGTTTGACATTGCCTTCTACCATGCTGTACCATGATGTGTTTTAAAGTATAAAAAAATGGAAGCTGATGTGCAATTGTTTTGTTTTTTTCCAGAAAACTTTTACATGATATATTAAGAAATGTATACAGCCACTTTTCCTGTACATATCAAATTTAGAATAAAACGGAAGGCTGTTCCATCCTGTTTACAACCTCGCCTGCCTCTGCCTGTCCTACCTTTTCTTTCCTCAGCCCTCGGCTTTGAACCGGGATCAGAGGAGTCTTCAATTAAGCAGGAGGGACTCATTCTGCTGTCAAATGTCAAATCTGTCTGTGGTCTACTTGCTGATGTCTTCTTCTGAGACTGTCAGAGAAGTTGACGAATACAAAAGAGATAACATACAGTGTGAAACATCATTAATTCCTGTGGGGAAATTGTGCAGCAGCTGACGTAGGAACGTAACTGAAATTAACATTTGGATTGTCGACTTGTTTCCCTGTGTCACCGATCTGTTAAACACACTGAGGTAATCTCCCTAAACACGGTTGTGTTTCCTGTTATTAAGTCCAACCTCAATCCCATTGTCCCTCACAAGGGATCCATTGAGCAGCTCCCTGCTACTGTTTTTGTTCTGAAGGTCAAAGGTGACGTCCTAACCAAATACCGCTAATGCTACTTAAGCCAACCAGCCGTACGTGTTGGAAGAAACCGAGATATGAGAATAGAGGAAAAAGAGGTGGAAGCAGAGAAATCCCTTTGCCTCATCCGGTGCTTTTATCCTTCACGACAGTCTGTTCCTCTTATTGGCTTCATGGTGTGTGTGTGTGTGTGTGTGTGTGTGTGTGAGAATCAGAAGGAGTTTTGTATGCAAAAAAATGTGTCACCATGGTCAGATTGAGACTACAGGAGGGATTTTATTATTTTTTTAATGTATGTCTCTTTGAAATTCTGAACCATAAATGGTCAATAACCTTCAGAGCATTTCCTTTAAGGTGCACTGAGGAAACACACACACACCGGGGTTTGCATTAGTGAGGACATTTGGCACTCACAAGCGTGGATTTACAAGAACACAGGATGCCTTTTCAGCTGTCACAGTCCTCCCCACATTGATATTCACAGACTGCTGAAATATGAAACATGCAGTCCTCCGCAGGTTTACTGCAGTTCAGGTGAGACCTGTCAATTTATGTGAACAAACAGGTGTTTGCTGGCATCTCTTAGGACTCTTGGCACATATCTTCTTATCATGAATTGCATACTATATCCTGTACCATACTTTTCCCAAAGAAAAGAGAGGTGAAATTTTTTTTAAAAAAAATGTAAACTTGTCTATGGCTGAGGAGGTTAGAAGTGAGTTTACACTGCAGACATCAGGCATAGGGTTGAATGTTTTGTCACAACTGGGATTTCTTGCCATAAGTGAAGCTGAACTTTCAACACAGACGTGCAGATAATGTTATCTCTTAAGATTTGTTAAAAAACATTGTAGGTGTTTTTAGTACAACAATTTCCTTAACTCAAAGCTCCACCTGTTGAATACCGCTCTGCACTTTGATTTAGAGATGGAGGCATGTGTGTCTAATTAAGCCACTTGTTAAACCGCCTACAACAGATTTGCACATTTTTAGCCACACAGCTGGGCATTAAGCTGTCGTTTTAACATGACCAGCAGAAGGGAGAAACTGCTGCCACTAAAATGTTGTTTCAGTGACATGATCGTAATAATGGCAGTTCGAGGTTGGATTTTTGATATTTAACCATGACAGTTACATGGTAGGGTATATAAGGTTCTTTATTTTATTACATCAATTTAGTACACCAACACACAATAGTCCCCAGAAGATGTTTCCTTATGACTTTGTTCCCCTGACTTCTTATCTACCACCATTATTAGGTCAGTGTTTTTTTGTCAAATACCTGCAAAACTCAACATTGTCATTGTGAGCATGTTAGAACAGTGGTTCCCAACCTGGGGGTCAGGACGCCCACTAGGGGTATTCCAAGTTTAATGGGGGGTCATGAGACCTTCTTGATTTCAAGGGGTGTAAAAAAAAATGTAAGAAATATACACCGTAGGCCTATATCTCATCTATTTAAAGCATCTGGTAGAATAAACCACCAAATTTCTCAAGAAAGACTAATAATTATGTATGATTGTTAAAAATGATAAAAAAAAATACATAATAGAGACAGAGGATCGTATAAAAATATCAGCAAAACTCATCTCTGATCAATATTCACAGGAAATCATTTCTCTAAATTTATCCGAATCTCTGGTTTTACACAAACTTCCTGCATCAGTTGTTCTGTACTGTTATTGTTATGCATTGAATATAATATGAAATATACATAAAATATGTAGTCAGGGGTCACCAGTCAGTGATAGAAAAAGAGGGTCCCTTAAGGAAAAAGGTTGGGAACTACTGTGTTAGAATTCTGGTGTTTGAGCACTGAGCCTGAGTACAGCCTCACAGAACCGCAGGCAGCACTGTAAACTAAAATCTTTAGACTTGTGTTCAAATTCAGTGACCTTAGTTGGGATTTAAACTCACAGCCTGGACAGTATTTTCTGGTATGGTGCTCTCT